AAAACAAAACATGGCTAGTGAAAAGCTGTTTAATAAGATGGAAGGATAACATAGTATTTTTTCACATACACTACACTTTGGGAAACAAGTTTCAAGCCCTGGTTCTGCCTTGGACTTCATGTGTAGCCTAGGGTTTTGTCCTAATCCACAGAAAATAAATGTTAGCCATGAAATGCAACACATACAAAGGTAAATATACTTTGAATTGTTAAGCTCTGAGATACTATGGTAGTAAATTGTTGGCCACCTAAGTAATGGATTAACGTAAAATTATCAGTTCTGAATACAAACATCTTGTTACTCTGACACCTTCAAAGATATCTAAATTAGGAGTGGATCTGTTCATTAATGACAGAGAACCAATGTCCACACGTGCATTACAGGGGACTCTGTTTTGGACTAGTTCTATTCTGATCCTATGGACTGGAATATCCACTACTTGCTGGAGAGCATTAGGTGCACTCCTGAAATTATCTTGCCCCCTAGTTTAATCCAAAAGGAATACTACTTTGTTTATTCTGAGACTGCTTCCTGACACAATCAAAGTGCAGTAAGTGAGTAGAAGTAGATTTGTTTCAAAAGGTCACTTCTAACCCTAAAATGCTCATGTAGATTACAAAGTGTACTATTGTAATTCACATGATTGTCACTTGGATTTGTATTAAATAATATGCTTTCAGTCTGCATAATTAAGGAAGTCTGGATTTTCACTGTTTGTACTCTGCTACCACACTGTACTGGTTTTGGCTGGGATAGAGTTAACTTTCTTCACAGTGGCTACATGGCTGCCTTTTGGATTTGTTCTGAACACAGAGTTTTCCAGCTTTTACTCTTCCAGTTCTCTGTTTCTGCTGGTGGGGGAGCAAGTGAGGGGCTGTGTGGCACTTCGTTGTTTGCTGGGGTTAAACCACGACACACACAAACCCCAGTTCTTCTCCATGGTCCTTCCTCTTGCATAATGGTTGTCTCTTCATCCTCCTCAAATACCCAGTTCTTTCCACATCCCCAGCAACCCAATACACTCCTACATCCCTTAGCTGTTTGTCTGGCTTGAATATACATGTGCTCTTACAGGACAACCAATATGTGTCTTTAGGATGGTCAGTTGGGCGTTATCTTTCAGAACATATATTCCTGTAGAGTACTAAGTGACAGTTTTCCCTAGGTGTACATGTGGTTATATTTCCTCTGTCCTGCCATCAATTTTATTTGAATGTATAGGAGCCAAATCTTGTTTTGAGACTCCTTTACTTCTTTTAAATAAGATTCAGTTTAGCCAAGCAACATAAAAATTCTTAGGACAGAGATTGATAGAGAAATCATGCAATCATGTTCCTTTCTGCCATAAGAAAGCAGCCTAAATATAGGGTGTTCATGCTCCTGTAATCAGAGACACAGAACTTCCATTAAAAATACAATTACACCATTGCAAAGGCATTGAATATTAAACCCTAGCTGTGCTCACTGCAAGCATGTGAAGCTTACATTGTAAATGTGCACACTCCCAGAGGGCTATACCAGTACTTTACCCCCTGAAGTCCCTCCTGGCAGCATTACTATACACCATCCTTAGAAATGTATTAAGTATGCTAAAGCCCACTTTTCATTAAAATTGAATTATGAAAATTTTCAGAGAAGGAAAAAAAAGAGAGGGAAATAACTCTGTTCTATTACAGGCATATGAAGAGTACCAGTTCATTTGCAGGAGGATAACTAGCCAAAATGTCTCCTATCACTTTTTCCAGCCTCTAAGTTTTAATTAAAACAGGCAAACAAAAGTTTCATTGTTATGACTGTGAAGAAAATTTTGAACATACTGTAACATATGTATGAGCATGCCACAAACAGAAGCAATAGGTCACTGGTATCCAGTAACATGATGTCCCAGTAAGGAGAGAGGGTTTATCCTTAGTACCTCTAGAGCTGAGACAGACTATTGCAAAGAATCTATCATGCCAGCAGAGTTGCTTTCTATAGAGGGCAATTCCATCACATCACTCATTAAAATACAAATGTATAAGCTTCTACTCAGTCCAGCTTCCACTTCCTAGCATATTTAAATACAACTGGGAAGTTGTTTGAGGCTTTTCAAACCAAGGGAAAATTTTTTTGTTTCATTTTTTTAATCTCTTAAAAACAATGAAAAAAATGCATTCCTTGAGACTGAAGGATGTAGTCTGAAAACTGCTTTCCCTCCTCTCCATACTGAAAGTTCTCTTGCTTCCACTCTGCAAGGCAGTATTTCTATGCCCCATCACCTAGTAAGAACGTGAAAAGAGATGTTTTCCATTGCAGTCACTTATTTCAGGCTCCTGTACTCCTCTGATTGCTGTACATAAACCACTAGATGAAAAAATAATGCAAAATCCATTCGGGCCTAGCCAGGATGAATGATTTTCCAGAGGCCAATTTATACACATTAAGATTTTCAGTCTGTGAGATTTTACACCTTCCTTATGAAGGTATAAAAGGTCTTATGAAAACACAATGTACCTCTATATGCCTATTTCTGAGTTACAGATGTGAGGTTGCTGATGGAACAGCAAGCACTGTGTTATACTTGACATTTACTTCTAGTAATACAAATTATCTTTGTTCTCTACCACACCTTTCACAGATATTAAGAACTACACACTCGATGTCAAGCTCAAGTCCAGACTCAGCATTTTCGAAAAGCTGAATGTCTTTAAACCCAGGAGCTTTCTTAAGGACAATCCACAAGTCAAACAGAAATGACAGCGTCAGATGGCAAAATTGAAGGTTTAAAGGTACATTTGTAGCAGAGAACTGGAAATAAAAGAGAAGTCAATGAAGCATTCCTATTTGCACAAATGCAGGGAGCCTGAAGCAGAGTTATCTAGCCACATACAGAGGGGTTTGAACCCCAAGAACTCTACAAATACATCCCTAGATTCATCTTAACTTCTACTTCCTGTCACACTCAAGTAAACCCACAGGCTTGTACCCAGAGTATCCTTTCTTTTCCCTTCTCTTTATTCTGTCTGCTCAGAGAAATCACACTGTCTTCCTTAAACAACTAAGTCCTCAATGGCACAGCTGACAGTCACTACTCTGAGAAGTCAGCCAAGCTCATGCAGCAGCTTGAAGCAGATCTCCTGCCCTCACTGTACACAGTACATTCTTGCAGCCTTCTGAACCTTCATTAGCAATCCCAACTGAGACATCACAGAGCATGAATTACCATTTCACGTTCACCTTAATCTTGCACGGTGCGACTCTTACCTTCAAGAAGCGTTCAGCATCTTCAGCACCACCTGATTACAGTTCCTGTGAACAAGGGCTACAGAAGGACCTTGCAGCATTAGGTCCTACTCGGTAACCTTTGCAAGAAGTTACCAGTGCTTTCCCAACAGCATTGCAAAAGTAATTTCAAAAGTTCCAAAATCCATCACATCAGCTCTTTTCAAGAGTTCTAAATTCATTCAGAAATAGAACTACCACTGCACAGTTAATGGACCCAACAGAACAAACCCAGAGAGAATGACAAATATCCCTACAAACTGAGTCACAAAGTTACACTACAGTTTGTCCCCCAAGCATCAGTAGCCCATAGGGATCTAGAATCCCATAACTAGATTTCAGTATTTGTTAATGCTCAACTTATTCTCTTCCAGGTGATTTGAAGAGAGTGGAAGAATGGCAAGCATGCTGTTCTGAAAGCCTGTGTTCTTTGTTCTGACACAGAATTCCTGTATCACTCTACTAGCAACATCTAGCTTGTCTCATCAGAGCTGTAACAGCCAACAGGAATGCTGGATAACATATACATTAAAAGGAGATTAGACACCCCTAGAAGTGGGATGGTAAAGAGTCAGCATCTACAAAAGACTTGCTGAACTTCTACAAAATGGTGTAACTAAGAAATAAGTACTTATGACTTTACTGAGAGTGTGGTAGTACATATCTGATCCTAATACTTGCAGGTGGCAGGACGCTTCTTCATTCCAAGATGCTAACAGCTATTTAATAGGCTGTTGGTATTTTAAGGACTGTTCATCGTGTAATACTGCTTTCCTATATTTGAAGTCAAGTGACATTTGGCTGAAAGTACCTCTCTCAGAATCACAGTAGCTAGAAGTAGTGACACTTTTCCTATTTTATAATGTTGGCATGGCTGAAGAACACCCTCATCTTTGCATACTCTTCTGACTGTGTTTGCTTTAGCTCCTAAATGACATTAATCTAATCTACTTCCAGTGCGCAGGAAAACGTATCCCTCTGAGACTCTCATTAGTTTGTGAGTGGTGGCCGTGATCAACAAACACCATGTCCAACGAGCAACTGGTGAAGATCACACAATACATCCCCTGCCAGAGCATCTCTTCCAGGTGACCTGACTTGGAGACAATGGCTGTGTCCAGCCCCAGCTAATTGCTTTACAAACACCGCACACAACACTCAGAGGTCTGCTCAAAGCAGCTATTGCAAACCCAGGGCATGTTTTCCTTCCTTCCTTTTGTCTTGCCCATAGCTCACACAGAACGAGTATCTCCACCTCCTGCTTTCAGCCCTGGAGGGATAATGTGCTACGGCAAACTGCTTCTCCAAGATGCTGCAGGTAAACTTGTCACAGCTGTCTCCAAATGTTATAATGAATTCAACGTTAGAAACATAGCATTAGCAACCAGCACAGGGTGGTGGTGAGGGGGAAGGCTCCGTCGAGTCCCAGGACAGACTACAATTTTTTTAAATTGTCCCTGCTGCTCAGCCCTGAAATTGCAGGCGACGCTGGTGAACACAGGCACAGGGTGTCCTCCTGCGCTTCATTTGTCCCCGAACATTCATTCTCGCTGCATTCCCCAGGGCTGACTTCGGCCAGCGGGGTATCAGCCTTGGTCTGCCGGGGCAGCCTCTGCAGCCCAGGTGGGGGACACTCCGCGGGCAGCGCTAGGGGCTCTCCGCCACCGCCGCCAAGTTTCCCGGTGCCGGCCGATGGTCTCCCTCCCCACAACGCGAGGCGCAGGGGTAGGCACACTCACCTCTCCTGGCCTGCCTGATCTTGGGGCTCAGCATGCTCCCGGCTGGCGCTGCTCGCAGCATCAGCACCCGGCCCCGGCCGCCGCCCCGCGCATCGCCGCCACCGCCGCTCCGGTGCCGCTTCTCGCCGCTCCCAGCTCTGGCTCGGGGGAGACGCTTCACATGGGGCTGAATAAACCCTAATGCATTATTTATCCGGCCTCCAATTAATTCCCATCCAAACTAGGCATTAAGTGTGTCGGTAATTATTGGCGATAGATCACCAGAGCGCAGACACGAGGGCTGGACCTGGCTCCTGCCGCTAATTGGCCACGCGGCCAATGATCAATGTGCCGCTTCCAGGGACCGGCGCGGATCCCCGCTCCTGGTCTGCATCTTCCTCCGGTCGCGCTCAACAGATGCTTTGACTCGACAAGGATCAGACCAGGCGCTGAACCTGACTCATCGTGATTTCTTCTGCGTTATAAGAAATACCAAGTGCGCTGGTCCTGAGGGTAGCGGCGTGCTGGGCCGCCTGCTGCGCACTGCATCCCTCACCGGGAGGCATTCCGGTGAGCTGAGGGAGAAACGACGCACTGCTCTCTGCGAGAGGGAAAAATATCTCTTGCCTGCACTGACAGCCTGGCAGGATAGGACTACATTTTAGCACCCATCATTTTTATTTGTACTGCTTGCTAGGCTCACCCTTGCCCCTCCCTGGGGGGTGAAGCAAAGCCAGAAGTAATGGGTGGGAGGAAAGGACAAACATTTGTTGAAATAGGTAGATACTATTCAAAAGTATCTATAAAATATAGATAGATAATTGCACGATAATTGCATCTGAGTAATGGGCACATCCTGACCCTGGACTGGTCTTTGTTCAACCTCCTTCCTCACCATCCCCATCTGCTGAGCAGGTCCTTCTGCAAGTGTCAGAAAGGGGCTAAATATTCCCCTACCAATGTACATGCCCTGCAGTATCATCCTACAGGTTTGTATTGCTGAGGTATACTGACAAAAGGCATTTGAGATTGGCAGCTTTCTCCTCTACCATGGTTTGTTATATCTTGGATACTGAATAGTGGCCATGAAGTTGTATTTTCAATACTGGAAGAGGTTCTCTGGCTCTTGTTAGAGGCTGTACTACTCAATGTGCAGACTGCAGCAATGGCTAAGATATTTTGGACCTTTAGCTGCCAGCGCTTACCAGCTGCTTGTAAGTGTAAATTTTTGAGTTCATGGCGTCATGAACCGCTGTCTCTGTTATGAATACACAGACTTGAGCAGTTATTTTCCCACTAATCATGTGTATTAGCTGGGTTGCAGCACAGTAAAGAAGAGCTAACTAATAATCACTTGGCCAACAGACTTAGAAAGCATCCTGATGCTGGGGATAACCAACAACAGCATCAGCAGAAGGAAGTTACACTTCTGCCTTTCTACCCAACCTCAGACCCCGGACGAAGAAGTCATTCCTACCAACCATTTAATAGAACTCTTTCTCTCTCCATATTTTTAGCATTTCTTATGTGCTCTGATGCTGTTTATACAGATCATTTTGCAATTTGAGCAGGAAGTCAAAAGGTGTGTACAGTAAATATGACAAGGGATAAAATTAACTGAACTTTTAACCTCACGAGAAGCATGGAACACTTCAACCTGCAAAGTCACTTCCCATGAAAACTTGATTTACCTTCACGGAAAAGACATTATATAACATGACCTATATAAATAATTGGGTAAAATGAAAACATTCAAACAAATAACAGCCCAGTTCAACACTAAATTCTAAATTTTAAGGTTTGTGGGTTTCTTAATAAAAAATTCTCAATATAAACAGAAACATTTAGTTTGATCCTGTTAAAAATGTTTGACTTAAACATTTTAGTCTTCTTAAAGCAATTTTCAAAAGATAAACATAATATTTTTAAAGATTTTTTAAGACTTGTAAATTTCCTAACTTTTCCCCCAGTTTGAGCATTGGTCTGCAGTTCATGTCTGAATTTCTCCAATACACTATTTGGCAAAAGCAAATTGTTTGTCAGAGAAAAAACCCAAGCCAAACAAGCCAGCTGAGAGAGAAAAAAAGCAAGGGGTTCCATAGTGGCTGCAATGCTTTGGTCTGACAGTTTAAATAAATACTTCCTGAAAGAAACACTGAGAGTAGATCCAGGAGAAAGGTAGCCTAACAAATGTCTAAAGGAGCCAGACTCTACAGGAATGTTTAATTCCTGAAGCTTGTGTACTGAACTGCTTAAACTGAGCTGGATAATTGAGGCAAAGTATCTCAACAGTTTGTATTTACCTTGATTCTCCTGTGAGTTTCACAGCCCCTTTCCATCCCACAGGTAGTTTCTCAGGGGGTGAGTTCCTCAGCTGTATCAGCACCACAGAATCACATCCCACAGGGGCCATGCCCATGGAACAGGGCTGGGAATGCAATTTATTTGTAGTCCAATTCTTTACATGCATCCATTCCACACCACTGCCATCTCCCCTTTGAACACACATAAAATCATAGAATCATTGTTAAGGTTGCATACAACCTCCAAGATCACAAAGTCAAACCGTCAACCCACAAAGAGGTGTTCTGAACATATACTCTTTTATCTAAAAAGCCCCTATGTAAAAGGTAACAGAGCTCTGAGCAGTCTGTGGTGACTACAGGAGTGGTAGAACTGAAAAAAACCCTGACTTACAGTTCTATGACACCACTTCTCTGCTCTCACCTAGCAAAGGTATCCTTGAGGATCGTTTGAAAGACCCTGATTAGAGAATTCAGTCAGGAATACCAGAAGAGGTATCTGGGCACGTTCCCCAGCTTGAGAGTTCATGAAGTTGTATACTGAGCCTCACACTGAGTCCTTACACCAGCAATTCTGAATAATGCTTACCTACTGCTGCAGACCACAACTCATTTGTGTCCTTGCAGTTGAAGCCTAGAGCCATGATACCAGGAAAATTATTGAGTAGAGGTGCAGAAGGAGTTACAGTACAACAACCAACAGAGATGTTCTTGCACCTAGGCACACTCTACAAAGACCACAGAAATTTGTGTTGTGGCCCTGAAGTACATTAATAGCCTTAACAGCCCTGACACACCTCACATGGCCCCCACCCACACCCTCTGCCCATAGGTGCAGGATCTCTATTTAAGCCCAGGCCAGGACTTCACATCTAATCTCAGCTGTCTTGTAGGAGTGTTGTTTTTCAGTATAACTGCAGTGATGCATGAGTGTGGGTTGTAATCTAATAGATCAAATTCTTAGCTTGACTTTAAATTTGCCTTGTTTCTGTGGATCTAGCTAGTAATTGAAGGATTGGGTCTGATACAAGTAATCTTTATCCTACCTAATTCTAACTCGCAGCTGTGTATTGTTTTCCTGGCTTGACCATAGACCTGCTTCTTCATCATCATGAATGTGTTTTATGATTGATTCCTGATTGAATCTGGCTATTTCTAAGTCTTTTGTCCTTACTTCATTCAAGTACTGTGAGGATTGTGCCCCGCTGTGCTGTGCTGTCCCTCCCTTTCCCTTTGATAGGGCATGGGTGTTGCTGGTCATCTTATTCCAGAGCTAGGCTAAAGATGGCCCAATTTAGCAGGCTTCTGGGTAGTAGGCAATAAGGCTTTTATGACTGGCTGATCTGAATCAAGAGGGGCATCCCTGATGGCTTGAGATACCCAACGTCAAGGTCTGTACCAGATGATGGAAACCATTGCTCCCATGATTATATCTCTCTGCTTGGTCAAGTCCAGAATGGTAGTCTATTATAGAGTACTAAGCTAGAAAACAGAAATCACTTGGCTAACCAAGTACTACAGAAGTGCTACTATCTGACTCCAACATAAATATAATAATAAATGTGCCTGTTAATTATCAGCTGCCTTTTTGGAATGTGGAAAAACTCTACTGTCTATCACAAGTGCTTACCGTTGATTGTTAAGCACATGTAATGAAGGAAGGTGATGTGAGCTAGGGATTAAAAAATTTAAAGAGAGTGAGGATGTGTGGTATCAATCTCAATGCCAGTCGATTTCCCATGGCTATAAGCAAGATATTTAATCCCATCCACATTAATGCAGTGTTTTGAGATCTGGGATTGGCAAGTGCTATCTAACTGCAGAGGATGTAATAAGTTACTGCAGCAGGGACAGATATGATTCATCTGTTGGCACCAAGGCAGATGACTGGAGGCTATGAAACATGTCGGGTGCTTGAGACGGAAGAGTGCGTGGGCCAGTGAAGTTACTGACTCTGTTGTGAGGCGGATTGAATGGATCTCTGTTTCCCCAGGCTCCACACACAACATGCTGTCACCTACCAATTATCCAATGGTATATCCTTTTTTTCCTCCTCCTCATCTTCTGCTTCCATATGCAGGCCAAGGACTTGTTGTAACTAGCTGATTGATATATTTTCTTTATTTATCAGCAAGATGCATCTGGATCAAAGCCCAAGATCTAATCACCCTAGACCTTGGCACCACTGAAGTATCTAATGACCAGAAAGGATTTCAGTTTGATATGACCCTTGCTTACATGATGAGTGAGCACCAGTTGAAACCTCTTGATATTTTTTCAGCTGGTTTTCCAGGTCAAAAAGGCCACTGGCCTTTCAGCTGCCAGTAACCTGTGATTTTACTGCAGTCTTAGAAGATACAGTAAGAAATATTCAAACAATGAAGGTATGCTCTCCTTTTGAGATGGCCTCTCTCGTATCATGTAAGCTGGTGGAGAAGGATGGAAAAAGCTGTGCAGATGTTCTAGAGTGGTTATGGAAACAACTGGAAGTTCAAAGATATCTCTGAGGAAAAAATAATTTAGGAAAAACTTTAGTTCAGGGATTATCTAATGCTGATAGATAAGGAATGGAGCAATTTCTTTAGGTTTGGCTGAAAAGTAAGAAAATGCATAAGTATTGCTCTCATTTACTTTTCACAGGGAGCTAAATGAAATATAAAATGGATACTGGTTGTATGGATAACGAGTGCCTATCTTAATTTTGAGCCTAGATGATAACTTTATTAATGAGGCAGAGAGAAATCTTTTAGCCTTTACAATACCTACTGGAGACACCTCAGGGCAGATCAGAGACTTTGAATTATTTGTTTCTGCTCCATACAAGATCTAGTGGATATTTTCCAATCTGAAATAGAATGGCAATGACACTGCAGCTTGTCTTACAGCCAGATAAAATACTTAGTTAACACAATTAAGGTAAATATAAATAAATTGTTCCCAAATTGTACTTGGTGTGAAATCTGTTTCACATCTGGATAAGGGCTCCTCAGACTGTTCAGGACTAGGGCATAACTCCTACCAGGAAGGGTTAAGGGACACAGACTTGTTTAATCTGGCAAAGGGCCTAATGGGGAAATTTAATAGCAACCTACAGTTACTTAAAGGACTTTTTCAGAGCATAAAACCAAACACTTAGTAGAGATACTAAAACAAAAAAGCAATGCCCCCAGGTTTGGAGCTTAGAAACTGAGATTGGAGCCCAGAAAAACTTTTCACCGGAAGGATGATGCAGCAGTGAGACAGATAGATGCACAGCAGGGGTGATCTGGGTCTTCAG